GAGACAACATAAAGAATACAGCATGTCTGCCCATGGCATCTTAAATGGGAATGAAAAAAAATTTGGGATTTAGTTTCTGCTGGGAACAGCCTCCTTAATCATGGTCAGAAAAGAAATAGCTGAAGAGGTGGTAGGGGTAGGAGGAAATAATACAGTGGGAATGAAGCACTGTGGAAAAATACTGACTCTTTAATTGCTAAATTTGGCACAGATATACATAGGAAGTTAATCCTATTGAATGTTTGCTATACTGGGATATCGGTTAGTTATCGGAGGCATGTATGTGTGTGCAGAATATGATCTTTTCTGCAGCTTTCTTCAGCCAGCTGTTACCATTAGAAATGGATAACTTCTAATATTCTAAGACTGATGTTTTGCTCAGTGTAAGGTGACACTTCCCTTGCAGAACAGCCAAATTAATAACACTGCCAACCAACAGTCATCTTACTAGTCTGCCTCCTCAGCTTTTAAAATATTCTTCAAAATTCTGCAAAATATTTCTGGTGTTGAGGTATCAAACTATATCTTAAAAACAGTATATCCAGTAATGTGTATCAGTCTCAACAGCCAGAAACTGTGAAAAGCATCTGTCTGCAGTAAGTAATGAGTATACAACTCATCTTTATTTTTCCTCACTGAATTGCCTGATAAATTAATGCTACTTTTCTGTGCCAGCTCCTTGCTGTCTATGAAGGAAGACCCCAAATGCACTGTTCCACTTTTGGTGCCTCTGATTAGAGCCAGCCTTTGATTCTCAGTGATTCTTGATTTATTTGGTCCCTCCATTCTGAATGTCATGAAACATCCAGGGTTCAAAACAATCAAATGTTTTATGGCTTTGAAAGTCTTGATTTAGTACAGTTACCACCAAAAAACCAACAGTAATGGTCAGCTGGGTTGAGCTGCACCTGTGGCATGAAAGGTTAATTAGAACCAGATGAAGCTGCTACTTTAAAAGAGAGACTTGTTGAAATGCAATAAATAATCCCTTGAAAGGTAGGGAGCTGGAAAATGTGTGGTACACAGTGCTATGCTACAGATAATACCAGATCCTAGGTACTTGGGCCTGCAATGGGGGGTGGATAATAAATTCTAAAGTGTGCATGTGGGTGTTTATTGAGGTCGCAGGTGGCTTGTGAGGAGGAAAAGTACAAATTCATTAATATTTGAAACTGCTGTTTGCCTTGTTTAGTACTGAAATAAGCAATAACTCAAATAGCATGGTATGTGCTCCTTTGTGTTTGAGGTTCACCGATGCCCCTTGGTATGATAGCGTGATATATTGATTTTGGAGGTTTTTTTCCCACTGGACATTACAGTTGGTTGTACTATGCAGAGATGGGACAGTGGTAACAGACCAAGTCAGACCTCAACATGAACTTTTGTGACTCTCAGGCAGACACCAGACTGGAAAAAAATCTGCCTTTTAGTGCAGAACATGTAGGGCTTTACATTCTGGCTCTTTGACGTTTCCTTGGACATTGAAAGGGGAACCACACACACACGGTAATACCCACCCGTAACAGGGTTGCAGATTTCAGCCCAGGCAGCGGTGACTAACCCAGAGCTGGAGGATGTGGGAGAGGACATAGTTCCATGCTTGAGAAGTGTAGGAGTGCTTCACCCATGTTGCTTGCACAGGGAGGCCCAAGCTCTCTCCCCAGCAAGGGTGCAAGAGCCATGTTTGCTTCTCAGCCATGATCTCAAGAGGTTTCACACACATGCACAAAGGCTCAGCACCAAGAGGAATGACTGACAGCAGTCGGCGAGCCTCATCAGCTCCTTGGCATTTGGAGGTTTGGTCTAATCTCTGCAGGCTGTGGAAGGCTTCAAAGCCAGACCTCCCACTTGTTGCCCTGCCACATGGCCACCAGGCCCTCTGCAAAAGGTGAAGTGCTGCTGTTTTCTCATCAGAGCTGATTGCTGCTGTGTTTTCTGCAGACCCCCATCCCTACCACAAAGCATTAGTGGTGACCGCATGATGCCCAGGGGCTCCATTGCTGCTTCCAAGTGAGTGGGCATGGACACATACAAGGAAAAGGCTCTGGTTGTCCATGAAGCTTTATGACCAGAATTAAGATGGCCAACAGAGCTAGGAGTCAGTGAGGTTAGGTGACCATCACAGTTTTGGATGAAGCTTCCCAAAGTCTCCCTAAGCCCTTCTGCTGCCGCTAAAGTCCTTTAAAGGAGCTAGTCATAGAATTACTTCTATTCCCTGATTGAATAATGGCAATCAGCAATATTGTTACTGTAGAACAGAAGCTCTGGTAAAGAACTGAGACCTTTAATAGTTGGGTTTTGTACAAATAAGGAGCAAGCAGTCACAATTTAGATATAACTCCTGGGGACAGGAATAAAGCTTTAAAAAAGGTCTTTGGGGCTTTGAATCCCCCAAGGAGAGATAGCAGTCAAGGGAGAGATTGCAAAACCAGTAGATTTGCGAACTTGAAAATGTCACACATCTTTCTGTTGCTGTGCCTCCTTTCTGTTGTTAACGTGTTACTGTAACACCTGCTGGCCCTGATTAGGATTCCTCTGGGATGGTATAATCACAGAGCACAATGTGGCCACAAAGAAATTACAACTCAGGATCTGCAACATACAAAGGGGGAGTAATGATAGACTCAACCAGATATACGCTGGTTTATCCATATATATGGATGCATTTGTGTTTTCCTTTACTATTTTGCTTTAGCTCCATAAACATCAGTGCTCCCCTATAACTCCGAGACCAGACATTAGACGTTGGATGCTCTTATGGTGTCATTGAAGTAGATCTCAAATAGGGATTTGAAATAGGAGAAAATAACAGCTTAAGCTTAGGCTACTGTAAACTGGGCTGGCTCAGGGACAAACTTACATTTAGATTGAGCCTCTTCATATCTTCTCTAATTAATTGTAAACTCTTTCATGCCTCAGCCCTAGAAAGTAATTTAGGCAGCCCTGCACTACCAAAACTGTGTCTTATGCTTTGTAAAATATGTGATAGCTAATCTAAGTAGTCAGGCTTAGCATCTACTTTTCATAATTATTTGTGCAAATACAACTCGGTTATCAAATGTCTGCATTAATCAGACAAAGGATATCAGCATTGCCAAAATAAATTTGTTGTGAAAGTGTTATGTCTGAGTATTTGTGTTATTCAACCAACACCCAGACGTCCTATTATGTTAAGAGCTACAGAAGCATATAAGAAACCGTTCCACCACCCGGGAGTGTATGACTAATTTACGATAAGAGAAAACAATTGGACATTACAAGCAAATAAAAAGAAAGGGAGAGGAGAATTAGGGTGGGAGTGATGGCCTGTGGCTGGGTGTTCCTGTGAGAACCATTAGCGAGTTTTAAGTAAAGGAAAAAATGGTTTGATTATAAATAAATAAGAAATATGATATCAGTAATCCTTACTGGGCATTTGCCTAGCCCCATGGAGATTTCTGTGGTATGTACTTAGCTTTCATATTTGGGTCTTATTCACACTGTGCCTATTTACACCACTCTTGTTGGGATCTCCAAATGGCATCGCACAGACAGCAGAGGACAGAGGAACACAGCCAAAATACTACAGCTGGCCTCATACCACACAAATCTGCCATCTGCACCCAGCCAGGCACATGCCCAGCGAGGGTTACAGAGTCTGCATTTCTTTGTTATTAAATGCTTTATACTGCCAGCACAACGTAAAGGGACCTTAATGTGACTGAGCATTCATCTCAGTCTAATGTGTTTTGCTGCTGCATGTTTTCAGTTCCACAGCTATTTTGCTTAAGCATCAATGTAAAGAAATCACTTTATTAGGATGCCTAATTGAACTGGTGCTGCCTCTGAATGCAAAGGATAACAAACTTTACTGTATGTTTCAATGAGAGGAAGATGTACAGAATAAAAGGATACATGTTTACAAAGGTATCTGCTCTTCAGTCCCCTTTCTGATCTGAGGTCACTACGTCATGAGCTTTTAATTATTCTGAGGCTCTATTTATCAAGGCCACCTCCTCAGAAGTCGGGCTGAGTTTTGGTCCTCTTTGCCTTTAGAGGCCTGTGGTCAATGATGCATATTTAAGACATCTTAAAAATAAAGCATTTAGCAATTGAAACAAAGCATTTAGTGGGAAAAACCAAAACAAAACACCATAGCAAAACATATATTTATTCATGTATTTGCAATGTAAAATTTACAAGGTAACCACTGGAAACTGGACTCCAGTGTCTCAGATTAATTCTCCTAGACAATTCCCAGCCTTCTGTGAATGTGCTCCTTTCTCACCTCTTTAATTCTTTTCCCCTCCAGTGCAAAGAAGCCTGGCACTGTCTCTCAGCTATTGTTCACAGAAAAATAGCTTATCTTGAGCCATACTTTTTCCTTTCATTTTCCTTTTGAATTGGACGGTTCTGTTCATGGGGCAAAGTCAAAACAGGGTACTCATAAATTGTCAGAGAGCAGTTCCCCTTTCATCACAAGCATAAAACACACTTGCAAATCTACTAAGTGAAGCTGGATTTCCCCTCTGTTCTTGAAAGTTATAACCAAAAATAAGTGAGAGTGGCAATATAGTAAAGCAAAGCAACCTTTCTGATATCTCTCATCTAGGGCAACATCCACAATATCTAGTATTTCCATAATAATTACTATTTCTCCGGATGAAATACAGCATCAGACGTCTCTCACTCTCTTAGCATTCTTGAAGAGGATGATTACTTGAACTGACCAGCAGCATATTGCCAAAAGAAACCCCAGCTAAGAACACAACAGCTTGGTAGGAAACACTGATCATGTGTGATGGCCTGACACAAATGCTATGTCATTAAAAATGTAACAACTAGATCAAAGTCTACCTGAGCCACTTCCTTTTGCTTCTGTAGACTGGTTATCTCACCCGGTCAAGTAAATTACTAAGGTTGTACAGGGAGGGAGAATGAGGGGGCTTACACTTGCGAGCGATTCTGTTGTGTTTTTCCTTTCCTCGGAGTCTTTTGTGTCTTTTGTGTAATTTTTAAAGGACTTGACCCAAGGAAGTCTTCCCAGTACCTCTGCTAGATGTACAGACCGGCGGCAGCAAGTGCAGTCTTGGCCACAAAAGGTTTTTTGCCGTGTGACCTGAAAGGCGCATCTGGATGCGGGAACCGATGCCAACGGCGAGGGAACTCTGAGGCGTAACAGAAGCTGAATTTGTCATGAGATTTAAAGAAAAACAACGCACCCAACAACAGCAACAAATCGCCCGGTGGGTGCCCTGGAGCCGGGCTTTCATCTCCCGCCCACTCGCGGAAGGACCGCCCTGCCCTGCCCTGCCCTGCCCTGCCCGGGGTCAGGCCCAGCGGCCGGGGGACGGAAGGACCCCACCGAGCCCCGGCTTGCTGCGGG